GATCTGTGGGTTTATACACCCTCTCCTCAGTTACCAACATGGTTAGTTTCCAAAGACCAGGTCGTTATGCAACATCGTTTTTATGCAAAAATGGAGGATGACCACATCAGACCGCAAAATGGAGGATGACTACCTCATTACATATCTGCCAGATTACATCATTACATACCACCAAACCACTGAGAATCATGGCCCAGCCAGGTTGACACATACCCTTAACCGTCACAGCCAGTGTTACTCTTTCCTCGCACCTTGGTGTTCATTACTGGCAGACATGTATCAATGCGCAAAATAATTGGATAGTAGTTTTTTACTGTTGTTGTAAATGCGAAATGTTGGATAACGAGAGAGTCAATAAGTGAGGACAAGGTGAACTTTTCATCAGATTAGGAAACATTTTGGCCTTCATTTCTTCAATATTCTCCCCACTCCTTGACTCTTAATTATATGTAGGTTAGGTCACTTAGTGTTGTCCCACAGCTCACTGATAACTCCATTTTTTTTTTTTTAATCCTTCATTTCTGTCTTCATGTTCATACTTTCTCTGCCTTCTTGAACATGAGGAATATATTTATAACACCTGATTTAGCATCTTTCTTTACTAAATCCTTAACATCTGGGTCATTTCTAGGTCAGTTTCTGTTGGTGAATTTTTCTTTTGGTAATGGATATTTTTCTTTTTTCTTTTTTTGCATGCTTGGTAGTTTTTTTTTATTGGATGCTAGACGTTGTGAACTGTTTCTGGGGCTGGATTTTAAAAATTTTCTTGAAATAGTTTTGGTTTTGCCTGGATAAAGTTATTTAGAATCAGTTTGATCCTTTTGAAGCTTGCTTTTTAGTTTTATTAGTGTAGGTCCAGAACTGCATTTAGGGTAGGGCTACTTTGGCTCCACTTTGGAAGCAATACATTTCTGAGGACTCTACCCATTGCCTAGTGTATTGGTGAGTGTTTCCACTCTGGCTGGTGGGGGTATGAACTATTCCTAGCCCTGTGTGAGCTATGATGACTGTTTTGCCTACTTCTTTCCAATAGTTATTTCCCCAGCCTCAGATAGTTTTCTCACACTCACGCGCAGGTCAGTACTCAGCCGAAGACTCAAGGGGACCCTTCTACAAATCTCTAGTTCTCCCTCTCTGTGCAATTTCCTCTTCTTTGGTACTCTGTGCCACAAATTCTAATTACTTGGGCTTCGCCAAACTTCAAACTCTGTCTCCTCAATTTGATGAGAGTGAGACGACTAGGCTCTCTTTGGGTGTCCTCTTGTGATGAGGCCTGGAAACTCAGTATGCTTGGGCAGTCATAGGACTCACCTCATTTGTTTTCCTTTTCTCAGGAATAACTGTTCAATGATACCCGTTGGTCTTCTAGTTGTTTAAGGCAGGAGGGGAAATCTGGTTTCTCTTATTCCTTCAGGGTTGGAAGCAGAAATCTCTGTTTCTCTTCGTGATGCCCTTTTGCTTTCTCTTACCCAGTATAAAGTCTCTGTTCAATCATTATAATCATTCCCTTGAATACCCTTTGACTCCCTTTCCCCCTGTCTTGTTGAGCTTGGCAAAAGCACAACCCTTGTTAAATCCATCTCTCCACCTTTCAGAGCCAGCACCTGTGAGGCTGCATATCAGTTGAGAAAAGACAATTATGCTGTTTTCACCTTAAATTCATGTTCTCAAACTACAAGTGAGCCCAATCATACTATGCTTCCCTAGTTATTTATTTTTCCACTTATGAAAATGCCTGTTTCACATCTTTCTCTCAAAATGCCAGTACCCCCCCTCATCTTTTCAGGCATTGTCCTTGTTTCTACACCATTGAGAAAATTGAAGCAATCAAAAATGAGCTTTCCAGAGCCTTATCACATCCACCCTACTACCAGCATTATTTTTTTGATTCTATTATAAAATTTTGGTGGAAAACATTTAATTATTCCTCCTTTTGATGAGTAATAGGGGGAAATCTTTCTTTAGGCAGTCTTACGTTTCTTTCATCAAACAGGAGAACTGGACTTTATTTCCTGTTTTTTGCCATAGCTATCTGGAGATTTCAAAGCTTAACCAGAATTTATCTCAAGTGCGTAATAACTCTGTACCTTCTTGATTTGTAAGGGTTTATACTATGTTTAAAAAAATAAAATAAAGAAGGTACAGAGTTACCATGTACTTGAGATAAATTCTGGTTAGGCTTTAAAATCTTCAGATAGCTATGGCAAAAAACAGGAAATACACTTTGGTTTTCCTGTTTGATGAAAGAAACATAAGATTAACTAAAGAAAGACTTTCCCCTATTACTCAGTTAAAGGAGGAATTTATACTCAACTTAGGAGCCCTGGTGGTGCAGATGGTTAAGCGCTCAGCTGCTAACTGAAAGGTTGGCAGTTTGAACCTACCCAGCGGCTTCATGGGAGAAAGACCTGATGATCTACTCCCGTAAAGATTACAGCCTACAAAATCCTATGGAGCAGTTCTACTCTGTCACATGGGGTCACTATGAGTCAAAATCAACTCAGTGACACCTAACCACAAAACATATTATGTTTAGTTTTATAAATTGCCAAAAATGCTGTTGGAAATAGACGTAGTTGAAATTAGAAAGTATCCTCTTGTTGAGGTATTATGATTCTCCATGTAATAGTCTAGAAAAGAAAAGGCTTGTATGTTCTTTCCATGGTTCTTTAATATTTGTTATTTGCATACCCTTTCCCCAGAAGGAAGAGTAAATGAAGCATTGAGGATTATGGGAAAATAATAACAGTAGAAAAATAAAATGAAGCCAGGCATAAGGTTAGTACACAAAGTATACAAATATGACTCTGAATTTCTCATTAGCCAACACTGAGAGGAAAGCAAAGTTACCTGAAGTCCATAAGGTAAAAATAAACTAGTTGTTCTGGGGGAGAAGCACAGCTAATCCTGATACTGAGATTTGAGTAAGTAGCTCCCATAGGTCCTTAGAATAATACTGTGTGATAGAAACAGCCACCTGGAGTAGGTTACTTAAAGACAGTATAATAACTTTTAGGGTCAGCTGTGTTTGTGTATGTAAGAAACATCATTGCTTTTACTGGAGTACAGTGTTAATCAGTGGTTCTTAACCTTTTTGGGGTCATAGACCCTCTAACATTTTATGGACTTTTGTCATGAATTTGTTAAACATGAGGATTCTGAACTCATCCCCCAAAAGATTCTGATTTAGTAGATCTGAGGTAGGTTTTCTGAATCTTGTATGTAATCAGCACGCTAGTGATTCTGATTATAGATTGTTGTCAGACCATGCATTTAGAAACTACTTCTGAGATATAATTTCAGGGAATTCACACACTACATGCAATTAGTCCATGAAGGTCAGGTTAAGAACCTCTGATACAAGTGAGTGAGCAACATCTTCGATGACATTCAGATAGTAAAAATAATAATGAGTTTCATAGGGGTATTTGGTGCTGGTATATTAGAAAGTTAATGGTTTTTATTGAAACGTATTGGCCTAACCAAGGCACACGGCCACACTTAACTTGAAAAGGGGCAGAGAAGTGCAATCCTAGCAGGTGCTGCAAGGGAGAAAACCCAGAAATATTTGGAGAACTGTACAAGTGACTAACACATATGGGTGTGGGTGTGGGTGTGTTTGATAATGCAATGAATTAATGATTTTTCCTAAAGTTGAACCACTTTCACATTCCTTGGGTAAGCCATGCATGATCATGAGATATCGTTCTTTTGATATGCTGCTTGTTTGAGTTACTAATATTTATTTAAAATTTTTGCATCTGTGTTCTCTGGTAAGAATGGCCTAGAATTTCCATTTCTTGTGCTCTTCTCACCAGTTTGGTATCAAGGGTTTGTTAGTTCCAAGAAAGGAGATGGATTTCTGTCCATCTGTTTTTTCCATCGGTTTTCAGCACTTACACAGATTTTTAGTATACTTTTTATGAAGCATTTAGGGCAACTACAAAGTTAGGGGGCACAGTCTTCACACAAAACTGTGTTCGCTGCTGACACTGCAAGTTCAGGAATTCCCAAAACCACACATTTCGATAATTCTCTAGAAAGACCTGTAGAACTCACTGACACCTGTTAGACTCATGGTTATGGTTTACTACAGGGAAAGGATACAGATTAAGATTAGCCAAAGGAAGAAACACATAGGACGGAGTCCAGGAGGGTTCCAAACACAGAGTTTCTGTTTTCCTCTCCTCATGGAATGGAGCCCAGGTGGTGTGGTGGTTAAGCATTCGACTGCTAACCAAAAGGTTGGCAGTTCAAATCCACCAGCCACTCCTTGGAAACCCTATGGGGCAGTTCTTCTCTGCCTTATAGGGTCACTGGGAGTCAGAATTGACTTGATAGCAACTTTTTTTTTCTTCCCAAGGAGTCAGGACACTTTACGCTTCCATCATCAACGTTTTGCAGTATGCATGGAATACTGCCAACCAGAGAAGCTCACCTAAACTTCGGTGTCCACAGTTTTTATTGGGACTTTACCACATAGTGATGTTTGATTGATTGCTCATGTGGTTAATCTTAGTCTCCAGGTTGACTGATACCATGTGACCCAAAGCCCCCACCCTAAGTCATATCCTTGATCTTTCTGGCATGGCCGGGGCCCACCCTCAGACTATACAGATGTAGTCAGCCCCTGCCCTAAATCACATTGTTAAGACTATCCAAGGTCCCCAGGCAAACAGAGAGACTCCTATGAGGCATAACATTCCAAGGGCTCAGTGATTATCTCCCAGAAGCCCAGGGCTAAGGCTAGACCTTTTCTTTAGTCAAAGCCAAATTTTTTACTACACGTATTTCTACAATTAATTTTTCTCCTTGGATAGTAGTTTTCCTATGGTTCTTTGATACCAGATTAAGCTTATAGGGGTTTTGTTATGGGAAAATGATTCTTCTAAATTTTGAGCCCTGCATTTCTCTAGCTATTGAAAGATAGAAATTACAGGACATTTTTTCTTTCTTTAATTGCACTTAAATTAAGCTACTCTTTTTTCTTTTTTTTAAAGAATAAAGGTTCTCTTCAGTTTGAAGACAAATGGGATTTCATGCGTCCTATTGTTTTGAAGCTTTTACGTCAGGAATCTGTTACCAAACAGCAGTGGTTTGATCTGTTTTCGTAAGTAATCCATTAATACTAACTTTTTACTAACATAAAGGAAATTTTAGTGATGTATTTCTATACCCCAATGGAATGTATGACTATAGATTGGTCTGTTTACCTGTTTAAAATTATTAGTAGTGTGTCTGGGGTCCCCAAGGCCACCCCCAGGTTCAGTAATTCCCTAGAAGGACTCAGAAGATTTAGCATATAGCCATACTCACAGGTATGATTTATTACAGCAAAAGGATACAAAGCAAAGTCAGCAAAAGGAAAAGGTGCATGGTGCGTGGGGTGAATTCCAGGGGAAACGAGGTGCAGGCTTCCAGAGTCCTCTCCCAGTGGAATCACAGGACGAGTTTAATTCCCCCAGCAACAGGTTGTGGCAATATGTTTGAAATGTTTTCTACCAGGGAAGCTTGTTAGAGGCTCGGTCCCCGGAGTTTTTATTGGAGGCTGGTCACATAGGCAGCCTCTGCCTGGCATATACCAAAATTCTGCATTCCCAGAAAGAAAGGTGTTCAGCATAAGCCGTATTGTTTGTACAATCAGTTTAGGCACATTGAGCCACTCTTACCATTTTGGGAAAGTTTTATATCAGTGTAGGGAACTATTGGAGCCCTGTTGATGCAGTGGTTAAGAGATTGGCTGCTCACCAAAAGGTCGACAGTTCGAATCCACCAGCCGTTCCTTGGAAATCCTATGGGGCAGTTCTACTCTGTCCTGTAGGGTTGCTGTGAGTCAGAATCAACTCCACAGCAGTGGGTTTGGTTTTAGGGAACTATTGACCATTTCAGTTTTTAGAGGCTAGCCAAAGGCCAACCTTGCAAGCAGGCCTTTCTAAAGATAGCAGTCTCAGGCCTGCTGTGCTTTTTTTCTGTACAGTCCACCCCCTTGGCCTTTGGCCAGGACATCTTTACATTGAAATTATTATCTGTAGGACCCCGAGTAGCAGGGTGAGGCCAGCCTGCAGTATTGATCTCAGTGATGCCTTTTAAGGGTCCTGGATTTAGCCAGTTAAAATAAATCCTATTAACGAAGATAACCAAAGGTTTATCTTAGAAAGCCCCACGGCTTTCTCCTTCATTTTCTCTTTGAACCTTTTTTACATGGTCTGAGGCATCAACTCAGGCACAGCATAATTCTGGCCAGTAAGTTGAAGCTGACATGAAAGCTTTCTGGGGTTGAGGCAACATGATGATAGAGTATACACACAAGAATTACAATCCCAGAGGATACATGTGGTACTCTTAGAAAAAAGGAGTTTACCAAAAACGGGTATTCTAAGCAGGACATACGTTAGGCAGTACAGTTTAACAAGACCCCCCCAGTGTGGCCTACCACCATGGATCCTCTTGCTCTGTGGTTCCCTGTCCAGTCCAATTAATTCAGCTCAGTACTTGATTTCAGAAGGCAGTTAGTTCCAAACAGTTTTGCTTATCCATCACAAAGTTCAGTTGCTGCACAAGTGTGGACCACATCTGGAGGTATTCTGTGTGGAAGGTGCATGAGCTGGGGCCATCCCCTGCAGTCTCTCAGTTAGCGTTGCCAGATGTGACTGTAGGCTCAGCAGTCAATTTGAATTCAGTACCCTCAACAGCAGCTTGGAAAGGCAACACTGAGAGTTTTCCTTCAAGAAGAGGGGAAAGCTTCCAGGAGTAGTTCTGACAAGCAGAGATCATTAATGCACTCTGCTGCCTCTCTGCCTCACCAGGGACTGGATTTTGTTTTTTCTCCATTGTTATAAAATCACTGTGTCCCGTTCAAGTAATGAAACCTTTACATTTTTTTTCCATTCATTTTTTGTTTTTATCTAGACTTGCAAGAAGGACAAACGTATTTTTACAGAACAACTTTTTTTTTTTTTAAAGCAAAAAGAAAATTTTATTTGGCATATATTCAAAAAAGGCAAAAGTAGGAAGTGGGCAGGCATGCTGCCAGAGCTAATGTCTGCCCTAATCCAAGGAAATATTACAGAATAGGCAAAAGTGGGAAAACAGACAAGCATGCTGCTAGAGCCATGTCTGCCTGAGTCCAAGGAAATATTACAGAATGGGCAAGAATGGGAAAACGGACAAGCATGTTGCCACAGCCATGTCTGCCAAAGGAATATTTACAGAATCATCAGTATATATTAACATTACAAATGGGCAAAACCATTGAAAGCTTCACCTTTTCACAGATTGGCTAGAAACTGTGATCTTACATTTTGAATTGCCTTTCTTAACAATCATTGATACAGGTTTCTGTAATGACAGTCAGGAGGGTCTTCGCTGGTCTGACAAATTTTCTATTCACTAAATGCTAGTAGAAAAAGATAGGAGTGGAAAGTCTTCTGTGTTCCATTTGAATGGTTTATATGAAAGGTTCCCTAAAAGATATTTTCCAAGATTAGGACTATTGTCTTTATACCTCAAGGCCCAGTTGATGTGTCCTTGTGAGTCGTTGTGAGCCCAGCTCCAGCTGGGTCACGTTCTCTATGCTCAAGAATAGGGAATAATGACTCCAATATTATTTCCTAAATCATTCCCTCCTGTTGATCAGAGACTGGAGATGACACATGAATGACAATACCTGGACTTAGTCGAGCTCCTAAATGGCGGCCATTGTAGGGTCTTTAAACTCACAATGCTGGTTTTCCACTGGATACCATCTGGTTCTTCACCAAGATCTTAAGTAAGAGCAAGTTCTCATCAGTTGCATTGCCGAAGTAAGCAGACTCAATGTACATCAGCATTTTCGCCTGAGGCCTTCTTTTGCCTTTTAAGGGTGTAAGACAATAGAAGATAAATTTTATTGTGTCTAATACTATCACGATGCAGACTAAGACTATTACTATTCCTTGCAATAGTGATCTAGCCCATGTACTTATTCCTGATGGTAACCAACCAAATAAATCTGGTGTTTGTAAGGGTGTTACAATATGTAACCAGGTAGCTTGCTGTCTAATTCTGTGTATATCCTGTTCTACTTCTCCTGTGTTATTTATCCAAATACAACAAGAGGTATTTACTACAGCACAGACTACACATTCTTGGACTAATAAAAAAATCTAAGGTTATTCTGTTATCTCATGTCACCTTGGCTTATGAGATCAGAGATCTCTGTTGTATTTCCATCCCACTAGCAGCTTTGCTATTTGTCTCGTAGTGGTTAGTAAATTTCTTAAAGATTTCTGCAATTCAAATATGTCATAACTGGGAATTCAAGCTCTTAGAAATGATGAACTCCACCCTGAGTGCTGGGCCAATGGATTTTCTTCTGACTCTCATTTTAAATGTGTAACAGTTTGACATTACCTTTCCCATATTTACTAGCATCATTACTAGGAATATCTGAAGATAATCCTGAAGTTCCCAAAGTGCATTGCTCACACATTCATCAGGAGTCTAAGAGACTGCCCACATAAATTTACTGTCAGTTGGAAAGGATCATCTAAACTAGTATAGTTGATCTACCACACAAAAACATATCCATAAGGAGCACTCAAAGTTTGTCTAGAGGAAACAGAAAATACAGAAAGATTTACATGTGACAACCAAGTTTCCATTAGAGAGTTCATAATTAGCAAGCGAATACAGGATGTACTTCTCCTATTGGAAGTCTAATCTGTTTAAAACATACTAAGTGTTCTTCCCAAGGGCCAGCTGCCCCTCCTTGGTTTACCTATTAACAGTCATGAGTTACTTTCTCAGAAGCAGAAATGGAACCTAAGACAAAGTGGAGTCTGAGCCATGAGGTCGATCGCCTCTGAGAACCTGGTTTCTTTAAGATACAAAAATTACTGCATCATAAGGGGGTGACAGTTTGATTATAAACATTAGACGAGTATTTCAAGACACTGTCTTGAAGACTAATTAATTACTGATTTACCCTGAACATGACTCTCAGTCTGATCTTTGGAATCAGTTTCAAAAAACAGACTGAATTCTTAAAAAAAAAAAGCACAACACCCAGAGTAAAAGGGTTTTACTAGTTTATCTGGACCATTGTTTCACTCAGAGTGGCTTCAAGAACCAGTTTTTTCCTCAAAACTTGAGGTTCAAAAGGACACCCAAAGGCAGTAGCCTGTGTGGGTTACCCTAGCCTCCATGAAAGCCAGAAATCTGGATTCCAGGAGAATTACAACTGTTTCGTCATTCCCTTCTGTGGATCATGATCTTGCTATAGAATCTTTGATCAAAAATACTCAATAAACGGTAGGTGGGCACCATTTGGTTTTTAAGATCTCAGGCACCATACAGCGAACTAGGAGGTAGAATAGAAACACTGACAATAATATTAGGCCAACTGTCTGAAATAACCAATGAAACCATGACCCTAAGGTCTTTGAACCAAGGAAACGAATCTCATGAGGTGTTTGTTTATGCATAAGCAACATCAGTAACTGCTTTTCATGTGCCTCAGTAGCAACTATATTCTGCAAAACCTCCGATTGAGTATATGAACACAGCAACATTTGTCTATTAAGGCGCAAACTGTTTCTTGAGAGACTAACAGGAAAGCTAATACTGTTCTATTTTGTAAAATCATAGCTCAAACTTCAGACACTTTGCTGGTTATGATAGTCACAACTTTGTTAAATTTATCAACAGAAATTTCCAGTTCAAGAGTTATAATATCTAAACCCATTAGTTAGATAATTTAGGAGAAAGGAAAATGGTTTCTTACATCCAGAAAGTAGGACCTTAAAACATCAGCAGTATTCCCACGTAAAAACCCATAGTTTCCTTTAGTTTACTCAGTCTTATGTAGTTAATTTCCTGTCCATGTGATTCTGGATCAGCCACAGTCTGTGAACCCATCAGCTTCTGCTGTAAGAGTTCTAGAAGTCTCGACTGAGTCTAGTCACAGTCTTTTTCATAAGTCCAATATAGTCCATCTTTCTGCTGAGATATTTTGGTCAAATGTTTTCAGCAAATCAGCAAATTAAAAACTTAACTGCAAATGACAAAACTTAGTATGGCCATGATTAATTTATAAAAATAATACTCTTAATAGTGAAACACCTGATAGAA